TTGCATTATTACACTGTTTACATTCATCATTAAAATTCTATTTTTATTTTCTCATTTGCCTAAATGCCTTCGGAAAAATATTTAAGCTAATTATTAAGAAAAAAAATAATTTTTTTTTGCCCTTTTCTGACTACCTTTAAAAGTTGTTCGCTAAACAATATTAAAAATTGTTGTTCTTAATTTCAATTCTTTGTACAGCCTGTATAAATACGAATGACAATGAAAATAAAGTATAACTTTATTTTGGAAACTACGCTTTTAAAACAGCGGACACACTCTTGCAGTGTGTTTATAAAAGTAAAATACTGTACAGCCATAATACAATATTAAAATAGAGGCGAGACTTTTAATACAATAAAATGTACGTTACATAATTACACAAGTTGAATATATCACAGATCCTGTATATCATTTAACACTTACATTTTATAACACTTACAGCAAAGCACAGTTTATATATTGCGGCCAACTGACCTATACTATTTTAATATTTATAAATAATAATAATCAAATTAATAACATAAGATTTGTATAGGGCTCGCTCATATTCAAATTTAAAGAGCAACAATTTATATACCCTAGACGGATTTAAATTACATTTTGATATACGTATTTAATTAATTTTTGCTGGTAATCACATATCATTTATTTGCAAAAATAATAGGAGCTACTTAAGAATTGCCTAATTAAAGAATGCTTGCCATCGAGGGCCTCTCTCTCTGTCTATCGGCGAGGATTAAAGAACTGCTTAAAAATAGTAAATTATTACAGTATTTATAATATGAAATTGGATATAAAGTAGTGAAATCATTTAAAAAATCTATAAATAGTTACATGAAATTCGACTGCTAAAAGGATTAAATGGGATTAAACTATAGAATTACAGTAGGCCGCTAACTGTATTATACAATATACACAGGAACGCGCATCGCGTATGACACAAAATGGCTTCTAAATTCTCAATGTCGCAACTCTTTCTATCCTAGGCTCTGCTTCCCACGACCCCGCCCACCCTGGGACCCATTTGTGCGATAGTCGTGGTAAACTCTCGATCCCCGCCTGAAATGGTTCTCCAGCCCAAAACAGATGACGTTCGTACGAGATCAGATAAGCCTAGCCTAGGCCTATCCCAAGCCTCGGCTAGCCTACCTAGGCCAACCGTTTGATCCCATCCAATACACCCTAACAAAAATCCAATTTTTAAAAGATTTAAAATAAATCATTTGTATTAAAGTACATTAGACCTTTGTAGGCCTATGTGTCATAATCAAATTACTTCGAAACCCTTCAAATATATTAACTTACTTTCCTTAAAAGATTAGTTTTTAATAACGAATTACAGCCCGTTCTCAATATGCCCAATGCCTTTTTGGTAGTGGCTATCGGCACTGCCGCAGTGCGGATAAAAGCTCCTGTCTTCTATCGGCACTGCCGCAGTGCCAAAAAAGCTCCTGTTTTCTATGGAACGCCGGGACTGTCATCCTCGGCGACTTTTATATTCGGTGGCTACTTTTTTATTAGGCGACCTTCAAGTTTCGGCGACTATTTCATTCGGCGGCGACTTTTTTATTTGGCAACCCATTATTTTCGGCGGATTTAACATTCGACAGCAACTTTTAAGTTAGGCGACTTTATCGTTCGGCAGCTGTTTTACAGTTTTGCGGCTACTTTTGAAAGATTACGGTCTTTCTTAGAATTTTATTGTTCGGCGACTCCTTGGAAGGTCATCATAGGTATTTCCAACGACTGGACTAAAAAGACTACAAAGATCAAAGCGGCTATTTTGACATCCCATGGAGAATCTTCCGCGATAAGTTTTCGTAATCATCACACCTCATAACCAACTCGGCCTAGGTCTAGGCCAATAAAAAGATGATTTACTTTGCATTTTACTTTAGTTGGGTTAAGACGTTTGAGATGGCATCATCAAAGAAGAAAAGTTTGCGTGATATCCTGCGAGAAATAAACTTAGAACACCTCATCGATAATTTTGAACGAGAAAAGGTAAACATTTTTGTTGTTTT